GGATATTGTGGATGTGTGTCTATTTTTACCATTTACATTTTTAATATTGAAATGAATTGGGTAATGAATTAGGAACTTTGGAGACTGACAGCACATTTTTTCCACAGCAAATGTATGGCCCAGACAACAGCAGTGTATTGCACTGCAGGTGCCCAATTGCTGTTCTGGAATGAATAGCTAATGTTTGAAGATAGTTCTGCCTTCAAGGGGCTTTTCCTGCCTGACCGCTCTCGTGACATATTCACATCACAACTGGCAACCTGCTCACTAGAAAGAGAACTCACACTCACCAAGTGGTTTCATACAGTCAGGCAGAGAATGGGAAATGTCTCAATCACTAACCATCTTGGCCAGCTATGACCTCTAACCTAAAAGCAAATGTTCTGTAGTTCACTATTAATCTCATGAGCCTCCAATCCTCTTCTGTTCCTTTGCTTCTGTTTAATACGTATTAAAGAGAGGCAAGACAGGCTTTGTATTGGAAGCTTTGAACCAAGGAAGCGCCTACGTTACAGGTATGTGCATGTATGCATTTTGTTATACATGGGTACTGGGAGGGGTGTCCACAGGTTAAGGCAACACTAAATACAAATCTAGAATGTGATCTTGAACGGATAAGAAAATGGGGTTTCCTCTTCTAGGGAAATTTTTGACCATTCATTGGGCATGGTTTGTTGTTGTTTTTTCCAGTTTGGGGTTTAGTTTGTTGATGAAAATTCTAACATTTTCAAGAAAAACAGATGCTGCATGAAAATGTTAGTTTCACTGAAAATCCAATGTCCCCATCACAAACAGTGGAGAGAGTATTTTTTTTCAACCAGCCTTAACAGGGTTTGATTTTTTTTTTTAATTTACTGAAATAAGTGGCTATGATAATTGCAACGAGAAGTTTTTTTATGGTTAGTAGTTAGCAAGTTACACTGAGATGACTATTTTAGTAGTCATACCTGAGCCAAGCAAATTCCCGAAAACATCTGGTTTTAGAGCAACAGCTGTGAAGCATAACTAAAGCACAATGCCTTCTGAGGATCCAGAGACCATCACGGGTGAGGTGCCAGTGCCCCACCCTTCCAGAGGACACAGTGCCGCTTCACTCTGCACCTGGTAACCTCCAATTGAGCCCACTCCCTGCCTTGCATACCCAAGGGAAAGACATTCTGCATGTCCTCTCTTTCCATTGCAAACCTGTGCAAGGGTCAGGAAGTCTGATTAGCTTGTGTATAGGTTAACTGATGTAAAACTGAACACTCTGAAGGTAGAAAAGTAATTCAGGAACATAGGCATTGCTAGCAGCAGGTACATTGATTTCAGCAACAGGTGCTTCAAAAGAAGTTGAAAGAAAACCTGAAACAGGCAATTATGTCCATGAAGGAAGGGGTTCCATCCTAACCTTGGACAGGGAGTGATCAGTTTATACCTCAAAACACAAAGGATTATATCCCTCATTGTTTTAATCCCATCCAGTGTAAATGATACAATGCCAATTGTTATTATTCATATTTGAATCTTTTTATTGTATTGCTATATAAAAACAAGTCTAATAGCCAGAGAGTCCAATCCACCTGATTCCTATCTCATGAACTTCCATTTTAAATACTAATTTAGAAACTTAACTGAATGGGTTTGCCAAAGAGGACAGAGAAAAAGAATCTCATCCTAATTCTTAATAAGAAAAAAAGCTACTTACTATTTAAAGTGCTGTGCTAAACACAAGGCATTGAGAAATAAACAGCACTTTACTATTCCCTAAAAGCAAGACTAAAGGCATCGTTGCAAAATTTAAAATAAATAAAATGTGTAACTTGTAAAATACAGAACAAAAACAACAAATAGTGGCTTAAAACTGCAGTGACTTTTATATTGTCTGAAATACTAATTAACATAGATCAGAATTTACATCATTCTTTCTGGCAGACTGGAAGAAAAAGAAAAAGTGTCACCTTTCAAATTAAGTCTACAGTCCACAATAAACTGTAACTTCAAGAATTAAGAACAAAAATGGTGAATATTGATTTCATATTACTCTGCAACAGTTTTGGAACTTTGAAAAGCATTCTATTGGATATTATCATTCCCTTCTTTTTTGTTGTACACATCCCTAAGAAAAGTGAAACACAGTAGCTACAAATTTGTAACACATAAAGGGTTATATACAGTGTGTTTAATATCCTTTTTTTAAAAAGTTTAAAAAAAACTGTCAACACAATACAGTTAAAACCAAAAAAGAAAGAAAAAAACTGTAGCTCCAAACAATGCATCCATTAAAAAGAGTTAGGTCCGTAAAGTGAACTTGACAAAGTCCTGCAGGAATATTAAGTACAGCACTCTAAACTGGAGTTCTAAGGAAAAGCATATGGTAACTGATTTGCTGCTACTGGAATAACAGGTGATGGAATTCCTGGAATCTGCATAAACTTGATGTACTGATCAGCTGCTGACAAAGTAATTCTGCTCCCTGTGACTTTTAATAGGTGAGCAAATGATTTGGTATAAGTCATAGAAGTGAGAGATGGAAAAGATTTATTAGAACACCGTGAACACTCCTTATGTGGATACAAAGCGTAGGATATTTTAACTCTGACCCATCCACAGGGGAAGGAAAAGGGACGTACTAGTGAGGAAGGGTCCCAGCACATACTAAGTCTCATGCCAGACACAGGGGTCAGTCCCAGTATTTCTGTTGGGGATTCGAAGTCGAGGACATAACATACATATGAATCTGTGAATATTTATACATCTACTGCGGCAGCTTTTCCTAGGTGGCCATAGGAATAAGACTGGTGCAGAAGTTTAAGAAGATTTCTTTTGAAATTTCAGCTGGTATCTGTTGCAGGCTCTTTTTCTAGCATTTGCGATATAATCGTGCACTTTTTGAAATTGGTGGGACTCCTGGGTGCCCCAGGAATGGTGGACTGGGGACTTGTTAATTATTCTTTCCCAAATGCTAGAAAACCTGCACTAATTTAAGAAGTGCATAGTAAAAAGGGTGCACATCTCCCCCTGCCTGAAGCGTCCTTCATTACCTCCCTAACTTCTTCCATAGACGGTCATAGAGCTGGGTATTTTAGCGCCAAGATGTGTAAGCTCCTGGTTTACTTCTGGATGAGGTTTCTCCTGCACACAGTAAGCCCGGAGACAACTCAAACACAAAAAGGTTCGGGCCTGTGGTGGCAAACAATCATTTAACTCAGTAAATACATTCGGTCTGTTTAAAATATATGTTTAGAAGACCATTTAGTTGTACCTTTCCTAATTTTCCCTGCTGCTGCTGCTGCAACTGACCATCTCCTAAAACTGGATTGTCAGTCCAAGGACATTTATGAAAACACTATAATAAACCGTTCGTTAAAAGGCAGCTTGCTCTAGCTTTTGACTCTCGAGGGTGACGTAGTAGGTGATTATGTCAATCACCCTTTAGAACTGTCTATATCCTATGTGCCTTATGGCCACCAGCAGAGGCAAGGACTAAAAATATAGAGGGGAAACTCCAGACAAATCTAGCTACATACCCCTTGCTTGGGAATTTGGTTTTATCTTTTCATAGGAACCAGTATTTTCCAAAAGACACATAAAATACAACTATGTTTGTAAACACACCCACCAAACCTCTCCTTCCACAAGGTGATATTTCAGTTACTTTTATTAAACAAGAAATCTCCAAGGTATCTGCTTTGCCAGGTATTTTTTCTCTAAGTCAGACCTGTATTAAAAGTTTTACTTTACCCATCTATTTAATTGCCACATTTTCCATTGATAGCACAATTGTTATATACCCAAGTTATTCCAAACTGAAATTAAGAGGCTCTTCTTAAGGCAACTTTACCTTAAGCTACCTGGACACCCCAAGAAAGATACTAATGAACTGTATCACATTTCCCAAGATGCTACATAATTACCTTACTTTATAACTTTTTCCTGTCTCCAGTTAAAGAAAAAAAACCAACCCTCTTGTGTAGCCAGGTTATGCCAGATCATATGGGGGTGGAGGTTGGGGGAAAGCAGGCAGCTCACTGTACGTCAAAGCAAACTAGCAACCTAGCAACCATATATTAAAAGGTGTGTGTGTTCTTGTCAGTGTTTGTGTGCCAGGAATAACTAAAGCAGATATTATTCCATGTGTAATCCAAAAAATGTGAAAAGGGAAGGGGAGAAACTCCAGCTGCCAGTCTATTTTGGGGTCTTAAATTGCCTGTCAAAATCCACTTTAGTAAATTCGGAGCCTTAACGCTTTATGTCCCATTTCTCTGAAAATGAAAAAAAAAAGTGGAAAGGATCATAACGATCTGTATTTAGCCAGGATCAGACCCCTACTTTGGGGTATGAAGAGGAAGGGAAGCTGGCATTTCTGCAAGCATGTTCATTGCACTCCTTGGGAAGGTGCAAATGGAGGGAGGACTCCAAAGCACCTTGAGGTACTCTGTCCCCGGAAGATTACAGAGGAAAATTGGATCCAGAGCGGTGACTTACAACATCACAAAACACACTACATTTACCACACCAAACAGAAGCCAAGAGCGCTGGGGGAGCCTGTCCTGCGGACCTAGCCTCAGCAGGGAAGGAATCAATTCGGCCAAGTTTTTCCTTCTTGGTGCCATGGAAGAAAACAACTTCATTCAGCCAAGGCTAACCACCCACTAACCTCCCCCCTCCGAGGTTTCTCAAATCTAGGGGCGAGTCCGTTTAGGGAACCATCTCCGCGGTCCTGTCCCGCTGTGTCCATGGGCAGGATCGACCCTGGCCAACCGAAGGGGAGATGCGGGACGCTCCTGCTATTCTGGGGGGACACTTCCTAACGAGGACACCCAAGAGAGCCACCCTCAGCCGGCGGCTCCGCTCTGGACGGCGACCCTACCACAACACCGCCGCCGCCACGCGCTGCGCAACCCCAGGGCGACCCTACCATAAACACGCGCGCGCCAAACACCCTGCGCTCCCCGCTCTTTGGAGAACGCCCCTGGTCGAGGGAGGGGAAGGAAAAGTGAGGGAGGGGGAGGTCTCACCTTGTTTTTGACCCCGCAGTGGCAGCAGACGGTCCACAGGTACTTGAGGGTCCTCCAGAGCAGGATGATAAAGAGCCCGCCAAAGAAGGTGACCATGGACGAGGCGAGGAAAGCCCACCACATGCGCTGGCCGCGGCTGTCGCAGGGCACCTCCACGGTCACCGGGATGATGAGCGCATCCATCTTGGGCACGCTGAGCGGGGACGAGGACGAGCCCGTGTGGAGGTGGCTGG